AGTTAGAGCTCTTCTGCCTATTGTGTTGGAATTTATGGAACAGCCGGAACGACGCTCTGTGGAACAACAAAGGCCCTAATCCCCATCATATTATTAAACGTAGCTTGGATTTTCAGATGGAGTACAAAAAAGCCTTGATGTCAAAGGGTAGAGGCGCTGCAGCTGTTCAAAGAGTAAGTGAAACTAGGTGGCACCCACCAGACGAGGGGTATGTAAAGGTAAATGTGGACGGAGCAGTATCTGAACAAGGACATATATTTGGGATGGGTGCACTTGCAAGGGACCATCACGGGGAGGTGCTCGCAACTATGGTGTGTCAGGGGCAAGGGGCAGTGGAGGCCGAAATGGCCGAAGCTTGCAGCTTACGGCGAGCTCTACTGTGGGCTCAAATGCTAACTTTAAGAAGAATCGAAGTAGAAACTGATTGCGCAGCCATTGTATTAGCGATCAACAACAGAACTCTCAATATGAACTCAAGCTTGGGTATCATTCTTTTGGACTGCAGAGCATTAATGTCCTATTTTGTGTCTTGCCGATTAAAACATGTCCGTCGAACGGGAAATGCTGTTGCTCACGAACTTGCACGAAGAGCGCTTACCATTGAGGCAGATCAATTCTGGGTAGAAGATATACCAGATACTGTTGCGCATTTTGTAACAGGAGACAGACCCTATTCTTGATCATGTATTGGTTTCCTGTTTTCTTCTCTTAATTTATGAATAAAATCTGCGCATGAACTTACCATAAAAAAAAAGTTTTATTGGCACTCAACAAATTTAATTTCTTTTAATATTCATGCTCATATGAAGATGTGCTTTTGAAATCATTTGACTAAATTAATTTTAAAATATATAAAAACTCAAAAACACTCTAACCATCTAAAAGAAAAAAGAAACCTAATAGGAAAAAACTTGTAAATCATAGATTTAAAAGTTTCACAAAAAATTGATTAATGCAAATTAAATGATGAGTTAAGGGTTAATGACTTGAATAATTTGGTAGTAATTTTTTTTTACTAAAGGTAAAAAATTTTAAATTTAAGTTAATGACATGAAAATCGGATGGGTTAAGGGATGAGAAGAGGTTCTCTCTTAGTGTACAATCTAAAATTAAAAAAATATATATGATAAGTTGTGGCATATGTGGGCAGTTAATTCCCTTTGGATGTGTATTCAACAAACATTCAACAATATCTTCCCAAAAAAAAAAAGAAAAACAAACAAACAAACAAACATTCAACAATGATACTCCTGGGTTCTTAACTTGCCGGTTGGACACCCACATGTTTGTTGGACAACTGGACAACTTGCATCCAAACATTTTTCATTTCTGCTTTATAAAAGAATCAATCCAATTCCTCCAAAAAAAAAGAATCAATCCAATAATTTTCCACCTATTTTCAAAAAAAAAAAAATCCAATAATTTTCCAGTGGCAGAAAAAATAAAATTACAGGTGTACTTTACTTTTTTTTGGTATTTTGTTAATTCATTAAGCAATGATAGAATTACACGTTTAGAAGCTATATAAAATAGGAAATATTGGTTGGTAGGCCCAAACGCTATTTACATCGCTGTAGCCTGTATTGTAGGCTGCAGAGGAAGATACGAAGCCTTATTTTTACAGAATTGGAAAGCCCATCAATTAAGAAATAAGAAATAGGAAAGCGTCCCTTCCCACTCCCACTGTACTGTTCAAAATAAATTGAAACAGAAAAAAATATCGTGCATTCAATAAAATATTAAATAAAAAATCATTTTGCCTATGAAAATCAGGAAAGAGCAACATGTTATGATCTCATGTACCCATTAATAGAATTTTGTCCTTATAATCGGTAAAGCATTATGTATGTACGGTCACACTGATCCATGGACCGCACTTACTATTTTTGTCGTATCTTTAAAGAATTAAATAACTTAAATTTAACGATAGTTAAATAATAAAAATAATAAAATATTATTTTTATATTATTTTAATTAAATTTTTTTACAAAATAAATTATATATTAAAATATTTTTAATTAAACTATAATTTATTTATAAATTTATTAAAATATTTTTAATAAAATTATTTTTTATGTTAATTTTTTTAAAAATTTAATAAATTAATAAATTTAATTATATTTTTAATATATAATTTATATTGTAAAACATAAATCCTTTTAGTTATTTATATTGACAAAAATAAGATTTGTTAGCTGATGCTGGAAATTATTGAACCTTTTTTTTTTGAATAAATTCATAGAAAATTGAAATTAAATTATTACCTTAAAAAAAAAATTACACTAATATATAATTTGATATCACTGGCAGGCCAAGTACCTTACGGTAAAACTTGATTGCATTGTTTAATGGACAATATAATGTTCCACTATGTCTACTTCTACGCATGTGTGGATTGACCGGTTCGGTTTCCAAACCAATCGAATCATGTGGTTAACTTAAATCCTGGTTCCTAAAAACTAGTGACTGATTTCTGAACTGTATTATATCAGTTTGATGACCGAATTATCTCGGTTTTTATGTTCGGTTTCCGTAAAAATCGAGAAAAATAAAAAGAAATAATGTTGTGTATTACTCTGTTAAAATTTCTACAAAATTCCAATTTTTTTTTTTTTAACACCTTAACTAAAAATTCTAATTTTTTAAGGCATGCGTTAAACTAAACTACATAATTAACCTCAATCATAAACTAAAATGAACTGAAGACAAGTATTGCAGATCAAGACTAGAGATTCAAGAGTGGAAAGAGAAAAGTAGGGGATACTGGAGAATGGGGAAGAGCGAAAGGTGGACGAGCTTCACAAGCCAAGAAGAATATACTATAGAGGAGGCAGATGAAGCCATCAAGGAGAAGCACAGCAAAAATGACGAGACAGGTGCCCCAAGGATGCTGCAGAATGGAAGGATGCAAGGTTTAGGAGTTTTTTGGCGGAGGAAGCACAACAAAAAATTAGATAAAGGGAATGGAAAACTTTTCCTTTTAACTCTTCTCTTTATATTTAGGGTTAAGGTCATAAAATAAAGAAATATATTTAATTAAGAAAAAAGTAGTATTAACTAGGTCTCTAAAATTATTAAAATTATATTATTTTAATAAATTTTTATTAAAAAATTTAAATAATTTATTTTAAAATTAAAATTTATTTTATTTTAATTTTTTTATAATGTTTTAATAAAATAATATAATTTTAAGATTTTTTTTTTTTAATTTGTAAAGTTTTTAAAGAGCTAGTCTTGAGAAATACCAATCTATTAAAATAAAAAATGTGGAGAGAAATTTTGGTCGAATCCGTAACAAAACTCAAAAGCCCAATATTCTCTTTTTCAGTTAGGCCTAATATTTCCAATTAAGTTTTTGTTTTGGACCAATTGGAATTGAACTGAAACCAAACAATTCATATATTTGGTAAAACAGGAAAAGTGGGTATTAATTTGTATAGTAAAAAAATTAAATAACAAATATTATAAAATTACACTATTTTATTAAATTTTATTAAAAATTAAAATTAATAATTATTTTTAAAATAGGAATGAGGATGTTTTAAATTTTTTATAATGTTTTATTAAAATAATATAATTTTG